AAGTCCTGTGCAGTGGGCCCCACTGCACATGTGGCGTCCACCTGTACAAAAAAGAAAGCCAACTCATCAAAAAATAAATCCACGTCTGAATTTAACGAATAAGGAAACGCCGCATGTGTCACGTCATTTTTTGAATGCCACGTAGTGTCTTTTTTAACGGTGCCGTGACGGCCCGTTAAAATGTTGGGTTTTTTACGGGTTTTAAAAAGTTAAGGGTGTGAATAGGGAGGAAAAATTCCGGAAGGTGTTGACCGTGGAAAACAATTAAGTGTATGGTGCAAATAGGAGCTTTGGCCTACTTTTTTTATTGGTTCGAGATACCACTGACGTGGTTTCCCCGTGATATTCTAGAGTTTCTCCCAAAAGTGTGGTCTTATATAGGTAAATATTGGATATGGATACATTTATTATTTATAAGTGTTTTATCTATTTAAATAAATATCATATTTGAATTATAAAAAAATAAAAAATAAATATAAAAATAATATATTCAAAAATATTAAATCCAATAATAAATATAAAAGAATCTAAAATTGTTTACCTAATTTATTCAACTGATTTGTTTGACTTACATGTTACTTATTCATATAACTAAAATTTACATGTACTCATTATATTTAATATTTATATAATTATAATAATTTTTAAAAATAAAAATAATAAAATTTAAAAAATAAAAATAAAAGTTAAGTAAAATTTATAAATTAAATAAATCACACATATAACAATAACAACTCGTATAAATAATAAAGATTAAACTAAACATATAAAACACATATAATAGTAGCATTTTATATAAGATTTTTTTTTCTAAATCAAATATATAAGCATATATTTGTAAGTTATCTGATATTTGTTAAGTTAATTATTAAATATAGGACTTTAAGTATTTGACTAGGTACCAAATTTAAAAACTTATACCTAAAACTTTTTAAATCAAGTACCAAATATAACTTATATGTTATCCCTATTTGAAAATGCTCATCTCTAGTCTTATATACTAAGTTTAAAATTCAAGATTTAAAGTTAATATTTAAAAAATTATATATTTTGTTTAATTTTAGTAAACTTAAAGTACAATGTATATTAAATAAAAATTTTATTTAAATACTAATGATAAAATGGAAATAAATGTTCATTTAATTATTTTATTAGACAAAGACTAAAAATTAAGTTTACCAAAATTCAACTTAGGAAGTAATTCCTTAATATGTTAGGCCAATATGAGAACCAAGGAGAGCTTGGTCTTTAAAAGTACAAAAAATTGATTAAAAAACATCTAAGCAATAAATAGACAGAAAGAGAGAGAGCGAGAGAGAGAGAGAGAGAAAGAGATAATTGCCACAACCTAATGTGGTTTTTGGCCTGTGGTCCTTTCCTGTTTCCCTCATTAGTACTATTTAATTACGCATTTCATTTTATAATAATAAATTTTTTTTATCTAAATTTTATTTTAAACTAATAATTATTTTTTATATTATAAGAAATATAAATATTTTTTAATTTTAACTTCAACTTTATCATTATTTTTTTAAATTTTAATTTATTCACCCTATTATAAAAAAATTCTTTTTTATTTTTTAAAAAATAAAATAAATAAAAACAAAAATTATCTCTAAATTCTTAATCTAAAAACAAAATAAAATAATACCTATTATTCTAAAACAAGCTAAGTGAGTTCTTTTTTGCAATCCAATTTAGCAACCTAAAATTCTTATAAAAAAATTTTAAAAATATTTTTTAATACAAAATTTAATGGTGTAATTATTTTTTATATTAATTGATATAAAAAAAATAAAAGTTTACCCTTATTTAAATAACTACAATTAAAACAGTTCACACAATATTGATATTAAGATTAATAATAATTTTACATTTTTTTTTTTTAAACATTTTGTCATGGGGCCGGCTCGAACCGTTGCCCTAAGAGAGGAGGACATGAACCTTACCAACGTGGTTAGAGCCACTTGACCCGAAAGATCAAGTTCAATAATTTTACATTTTTTAATATTAATAATATAAAAAATAATATAATTATTATATTTTTAACTTATACACTAAAATTGAATATTAAAATAACCTTAAAGGACATCAATTCTGCTAATTTCTACTTTCTTTAAGAAAGGTGTCCAACTCAGAGGAATCGTTACTTTGAAACCTTTGAATTGGAACGAAATCTGAGCTTGATTGGCAGTTTTAAACTCTCGTTCAAGAAATTTCTTTCCACAATCTAACTGTTTCTTCTTAGACTCAGTTTTCTCTGTAATAATGGCCTCCAATAGCTGTTTTTCAACTCTCAATTCCCAATTTTCAGCTTCAAGTTTCAATCACTCCTTTTCAGCCTTTTCCTTTTCCAGATTGAATTTCAATTGCTAATTTTCAAGTTTTAAATGTTCATTTTCAGCCGCAAGTTTATCCATCTCGTATTTGATTTTCCCTTGTATTTCCTTGCCAATTCTTTCCCGATATGCTTTATTGTTCTGGCTCCTTTTGGCAAACCGATCTGCTTCACTAATTTCACCAGCATTTCTTTTTCTTTGAGCAGTTGCAGGTCTACCAACTTTGTTGGCCAAAAAAATAAAAATAAAAATTCAATTACTTTCAAAAACATCTAACATATTACAGTATGTAGGAGTTGCGAACAATTAGGATCTTACTATTAAAATAGTAGGAATTATGAATTTCTTGCATAATTTTATCCAATAAAAAAATTTAATTATCATTTATATATTATATAAAAGTATTATCTAAATTTTGAATGCACTATTATTTATATAGACAAATAATTTGAAACATAGGGAGTGATTAACAAATTCAAAGGTTTTAAAAAAATTCAAATATATAGAAAGAAGAACGGTGCAAACGATGAGAAGAAAAAGGAAAAGAGAAGGACCGGCAGGCCGACAATCTTCTTTTTTTTTTTTTTTTTTTTAAACAAATTTGTAATGGGTCGAATTTTAATCGTTGCCCTGAGGATGAAAAAATGTATTTATACATGACCCGACACTACTGAACACAAAGATCCAAATGCAGAGATTGAATTAGACAGTATCCTTTCAAGCTCCAATTAACAATGGCTGGAATTCTTCATATCCACTTTGTCCTTTTTTTTTGGTTTTCCGTCTCGTATCTGAGGTTTTGCCTCGGCTAATCCAGACCAACCTGGGTCACGCACCTAGGAATGGTGGATGAATCTCCCAACAAAAACTGTTGCATACATAAGGTCTCGAACTAGAGATCTTGCTTAAGTTAGAACAAGCCGCTTACCACACTTGATCCAACCCCTCATCGGCTATCCACTTTGTCCTTTGTTCCCCAACTTCAGATACATCTAAGTTTGGATATTAGCATTTTATTTATGCGCACATTAATATGTACACGAACCAATAATTTATTGATACGATCGAGTGGAAAAAAAATTTAATTTTTTTAAATAAAATTTTAAATTTAAATTTTATGACTAAAAAAATTAATGTTAATAAAGTGTTATTTTTATAAGATTTAATGTAATTTAATTTTAAATTAATTAAAAATTAATATAATTATAAGATATCAAAAAAATTAATAAAAAAATATTAATTTGCATAAGAGTGAAAGTTTCTTCATTACTTGCGGAGAATCGTCAGACCATCGGGCGATCGAGAATCCGTCCGACGTTCGTCCATCTGTCAATTTTTAATAGGTGGATATTATTTTAACTTTAATAACCGAAAGATTGCTTATTTCATTTAATTTTTGTAGTTTTATTTTTTTTTATTTTTTACACATTAATTTAAGACAGAGCGTTAACAAAATTATGCATAAAAATTGAATTTTTTTATATTTAATTTTTATTAATTAGTTTAATTTAATAAAAATATTTAATCTTCATTTATATACCATGTCAAAAGTTAAACAGAAACAATATTGATTAAAAAAAAAAAGAAACCTTCTATGACGTCTGCAGAGTGGACTCTCCCATTAGCTTGCGAAGAAACCTCTATGAGTCTGCAGTAGAGCTCCTGGTGGCTGGTGTGTTGTGGCAGATTTCTTTTCACTCTAGTAATATGTCAATGAAAAAATCAACCAGAAAATTATATAGAATGCGAACTTAATTGCTAATTTTGTTAGCGTGAGACTTTTGACTTTTTAACTATTAATTATTTCTTTTCTCCGGAAGGTGTTCGGGAAGGATCAATTTTAATTTCAATTTGTTTTTGTTTAAATTATTTACTTGTTTAGATTATCATTATTTTCTCCTGTTTCATATTTACTTTCAATTAGATTTAGTTATCATAATTTAATTTTGACATAAAATTTTGACTAAATAATTTTATATAATAAATAATTACTAATTAATTTTTTTTTCTCTACATAATACTTACTGAGCATTTTTATTTATTTATTATTTATTATATAAAATTATTACGTCAAATTCTATATAAAAATCCAATTAAAACAATTGAATTTGACTAAAATAAATATATATTAATAATATCATATAATCTAAATTATACAATTCAAACCATTAAATAAAAATAAAACTGTTAATAAATAAAATAATTCACAAATAACTCATGAACTACTCAATTTAAACTCAAATTAGAGCTTAATATCAAGTTTCATGAAAATATCAGCAGTTATCACTCCTTTAATAATCTAATGATGTGGGCAAAAGGTCCTAACCTGAATGGCCATTCTTGTGGTGAGCTGCCCGCGTGATGCAGTGGACCACCCTCTTCAAAGTTTAGGTGATGAAAAGAGCATTGTAGCTTAGGATGCTAGCAATGATAGTTTCTTTAATTCGATAATTCTGCGATTATACCTATGCTGAATTTTATAGTGATTTTTAGTGATAGTTGGCTTTCTTTGTTGTAATTATGAATTTATCTATCTTATATCTTAAATTATAAGATAAAAATAATTATTAATTAATAATTATTTTTTATTTTAAAAATATTAAAATTAATTTTAATTTTAATTATGGGTGTCATATATATCATTTTTTTATTTTTTAAATTATAAAATAAAAATTATTTTTTAATTTAAAATTTATATTTTTAAAAAAAATTAAAAATATTATTTAATTATTACTTCTTATCTTATACTCTAAAAACACACAATACACAAACCTTTTAATTATTCAGATTTGTCTTTATTATTTACCTTCTTTTACCCCCTAGTGGGTTTTGACATCAGCGATTATCCTCGAAATCTTCTTTTTATTAGTAAGTCACATATTTTTTTTTCTTGAAAAAAAAAAGGCAATCATCATAACTATTAATACTTAAAATTATAAAATTTTATTATAAGAAAATATTCTTTGTAAATAATTTTTATATAAATAACATGTGTGAACAAGAGTTTAGCCATAAAATTTTTTTCAAAGTAATACTACCAATTAATTATAAATTTCACCTTTCACTAGCTGAAATCAGAAATACAACCTCTGCAAACAAATTGAATTATTGGAGCGACGAGAGCGCTTGATTTGCCGTTGCTTGTCATTGATTGATTGTTGTTGGTTGGAGGTTTCCTCTTCCACGTCATATTCATTTCAAAGTAGCTACTCGGCAGTTTCCCTGGACCTTTTTTTAAAAATTTTTATCAGCAAATAAAGATTTTTATTATATTAGCAGTACAAAGGATACAGTGCTCTCACAGCTCTGACCCCATACAATCCTATGGTTTGAAATGAACGACTGTAATATTAAGAATAAATCACATTAATTAAAACCGAACGGTCCGTTCTGCGTGTGGCGCTGGGTTAATTAGGGTTGTTTACCTCTGAGTAGGTGATGTGTCTGAATGTTAAGGAATTCATTTTTCTTTCCCTCAGTTAATATAGGTAAATAATTTTAAATTGTTATAAAAAAAATATTAAACCATTCACCATCATTCTCCTACAAAAACTGCAACTCTCAGATCTCCTGCAAATGCCTTCCACGGTGAGTTTCACTTGACTGAGTTTGCGAAATTTGATTGGCCATTGCAAGCTTCATTTGAAGTAATTCCTTTTCAGCCTCAACTCTCCCCACTTCAGCACTCACTCTCCCCACTTCAGCCTTCATTACCATTTTTTCCAGCTCCACCTTATCAAGTTTCGATTGCAAAATTTCCACTTGCCGTTCCTTTTCCTTAATATCATTCCCATGTTTCTCCAGAGTAGACTTCATTAGCTCATCCTTTTCCTGAATTTCACACTTCAATACCTCAATTTGACGTTTTAATTGTCCATTTTCAGCCGCGAAATCATCCCTCTCCTTCTGTATCCTTTCTTTTGTTGCCTGAAAGTACCATGTGAAGTGTAATGCATTAAAAGTTCAAAACTACCTACACTCCGAAGTGCAAATGAAATGCTAAAATGTTTACCTTCGATCTCTGCCTGTATGCTTTATCGGTCTCTCTTTTTCTGGAACGCCCGTGGCTATTTAGATCATCATTTCTTCTTGCCCCCCCAAGACTGCCTTGATCAGATACAGCACTGTCGATACTTGCGAGAATTCCCTCTAAATCTAACATTTCCGCGCCATCTGTCATTTGCTCGGCGTCTATCATTCCCGTGGCATCCATCATATATAAGAAATCATCAGGAAATCTAGTATAATGATACTTAAAACATTTTCTACAAATGAGAAAATTAGAGGCAAGCAAAAACCAACAAAGCTTAATATTTGCCTAGAAGAGCAAAGATAAATTGATGAGATTGAAATTAGACACAGCTTACAAAATTCTTCCGACGGCGGCCACTCAGACACTCGCGATAGCCGCTGGAATATGTCTTCATTTCCAGTACTGTATCCATTGGTCCCCATGGACTGATCCTCTGCCTGCGGGTAGTCTTCATTTCCTGTACTGTATCCATTGTTCTTCATGGAATGATCTTCCCGACACAAGCCCGGTTGGAATCCTCTATTTCTACTGTCTCCATTGTTCTCCATGATCTGAGATGTGCGTCAAATGCTGGATGCATATAGCAATAAACTACACTAACATTTATAAGAGAGAATCGTCCAGACCATCGTCGATTTAGAATACGTGGGTGTATTATTTTAACTACGGGACCAGACCTCACGAGGACAAACGATTAATTGTTTGACATTGATCCATTTTTTAATTTTTTTCCCTTGTAAGTTTAGACCTGTCCGGTCAGTTCTTCCTTAGTTTAAATGTCAATTTTGGATTCCCCGGTTCACATCGATCGATTTTTCTTTATTTTGGCCACCCCATCGATCGATTTTTTTTTCTTTGGGCCACCCCATCGATCGACTTTTTTTTTTTTCTACGCAACTTCCAGACGCGTTGTCTGAAGTTTCGTCCGCGTTTTCTACGCAACTTACAGACGCGTTCTCTGAAGTTCGTCCCAGTCCCAG